TATTCTGGTTCTATATTCTATATATTCTGGTTCTATATTCTATATATTCTGGTTCTATAAGAATTTTAGGATTGTCTTTTCTAGTTCTGTGGGTAATGCTGTTGGTCTTATGACTGGTGTTACATTAAATTTGTACATCACTTCTAGGACTAGGCCATGTTGACAATATTGACTCTGTCTATCCAAGAACAGGGAACATTTTTCCATTTTCTGATGTTCTCCTCAATCTCATCTTTCAGAATACTGTAGTTTTCATTGTAGACATCTTTCACTTCCTTTGTTGGGTTGAATCTTTTTTTTTTTTTATGTGTTTAGTACAGGGTCTACTGGGTCTCACTATGTAGATGTGACTCATAGTAATTCTCCTGTTTTCAGCCTCCCAAGCGTTGGGATTACAGGTGTGTGCCACCACGCCCAGTCTCAACAGCCATTTCAGCATGCCCCAGGGTCAGAGGGGGAAGGGGCATTGTGGCAAGCCAGGAATTGAACCCTGGTCACTATGCTTTGCCTAAACAGGCTAGGTTGAATATTAAGCATTTAAATTTTCTTGATACTATTGTGAATGGTATTGTTTTCCTAATTTCTTTCTCAGTGAACTCATTTTTTATATCCAGAAATAGTATTGATTTTTATGTGTTAATTTTGTATCCTGCTACCTTAATTTGGTTATTAATTTGAGCAGTGTTTTGGTTAAATACTATGGGTCTTCTGTGTAGGGTATTATGTTATCTGAAAATAATGATAATTTGACTTTGTCCTTTACTATATTATTTCCTTCTCTTGCCTAATTGTTCCAGCTAGTGTATTGAGCACAATATTGAACAAGAGTGGTGATGGTGGACATCCTTTCTTGATCCTCATTTTAGGATCCATTTTCCCCACTTAATATGGTGTTGGCAGTAGGTTTGTGATAAATGGCTTTTATCAAATTGAGATAAGGCACTTATATATTTATTTTATTCAGGATTTTTGTCATGGATGGATGTTGGATTTTGTCAAAGGATTTTTCTGTACCTATTGATATCCTTGAATCTCTGGGATGAAGCTTAATTGGCTATGATGTATGATCTTGTTTATTTATTTATTTATTTATTTATTTATTTATTTGTATGATCTTTTTGATGATTTGTCTGCCTGCCAGTATCTTGCTGAAGATTTTTGTGTTTTAGCTCACTAAAGAGACTGGCCTATAGATCTCATTTTTGTTTGGATCCTTGCCTCGTTTTGGAATAATGATAATTCTAGTTTCCAGGAGTGACTTTATGAGTACTTGTACCCTTTCAATTTCATTAAAAAGTTTGAGGAGGACTGACACTAGATTTTCCATGATGTTCTTGTAGAATTCAGAAGTGAATCCATCAGAACCTAGAGTTTTCTTAGTTGGTAGTTCTTTTGTTTTATTACTCTTGCAATTTTCTTTTTTCTTATTGGCTATTTCAGGTTTTTTCTATCTTCTTGGTTCAACTTCATGTGTATCCAGGAATCTATCAAATTCTTCTAGATTTTCCAATATTGGAGTACAAGTTTTTGAAGTAGCTGCTGATTTTCTTCTGGATATTGGCAGGTTACACTGTGATTTCACCTTTTTCATTTGGTTTGGGTCTTTTCATTCCTTTTTTGGGCTAAAATTGGCTAAGGCATTGTCTTTTTTGATAGAAACAATTCTTCAAATTATTGATTATTTGTGTTTTTTAATAACTTCATTAATTTATATTCTCATCTTTTAATTGCTTTCCTTATACTAAATTTGGATTTGGATTTTTCTTGTTTTTATAGGAATTTGAAGTGCATCACGATGTTATGTATTTGAGTTTCCTGTTTTTCTGATGTAGGCATTCACATCTATAAACTTTCTGCTTAGGACTGTTTTTACGGTGGTACATTGAGTTATGACCACTCACACATATGAAGAAATTGGTTTATGATCAGAATTTTAGGATTAATTAATGACAAAAGTCTTGAGTTATTACCCAGATGCTGTCCTAGCCACTTGGTGTTGGAAACAAAGACCCCCAATGCCAGAGCAGCATGTAAGCATATGCAAGTGTCGATCTGAGCCCAGCTGCACACATTTTTGGAAGTGATTTCAATCATTGTTTTATATAATCATTATAACTACTGTTATTAAAATGGCCC